CAATATTTTTTGCAGCTTGACACGCTAAAGTTGATAGGTCTCTTAGGGTAAGTGGATTATTCAATAACTAGGAGTGGGACAATTGGGGGAAAAGGTGACTTCATTCTTCACTCCTGTACCGAATAAAGTCCAGGTGGGTCAAAAGGTAAAATCCAAATGGAATTGGACCTATAACCATATTTCTAAGAAGATAACTACCAAGTGTAAAAAAAAGAGATATATTCTAGTAAAGTCAGAATAATTCCTAAGAATACACTGTGATAAACTGATAAGTCTGTCAGGTGAATATTGTTCCTACGTTTACATAATAAGCATTTTTATGCCTCAGTATGAAAAAAAAGAACAAATTTTCATTTCTTTACAGAGCCACTGAAACAGCCAGATTTAGGAAATCTTGATAAGTTGATAAGATTTATGTCTTTTATTTACTGCTTTATTTTTTCTGTTTAGATGAATTATGTGTTGAAGCACTTTGTCGGATGGAACAAGCCAATTGCTCCTTTCAGGTGTTCGACAAACATCCGGGGATCTATTTGTTCTTGGTCCATCCCAATGAAATGGTGAGTGTGAGTATTAGGCAATGGAAGGATATATTTTATTTTTGTACCTATAGGTAGTATAGTAGAAATTTTTGGTGTGAATTTTGTTTAAAATGTTTGCCGAAAGTTTTCTTATTTTAAAATTACTATTGTTAAGTAGAGAATCAAAGAAGAAGGGATCCAAGAGGGTAGGGGAATAATTCCTGGTGGGTGATGCTTGAGCTTAAAATACAAATAGGGGAATCATTTGATTTTCTTTCAATATGTTGAGCTGAATTGATGAAGAGGGACTCTTCTCTCTTGCTTTTCTCACCTTCCTACCTCACTCCAAATGCATGGAAATATCAGTTAAAATATTTGAAAAATTATTTCAGTAATAGATGAGATTTAGAACAAGGTGAAAGGAGAAGTTCCCTGGGAAATTCCTAGGTGTTAGAAATGAATGGGGACATACAAGTCAGAACAGTGGTAAGGAACAGAAGCAGAGAGCACATCAGAGCATGGAAACCTAATGTCGTGCTTATGGCTTATCACCACATAGGGAGGTGGTCTTTGCTGTAGGTCTCATGCACATGGGCACCTACAACTGAGTTACCACATTAAGCCAGTGGCCATGAACAGAAACATAAAGTAATAGATGGGTTAAAACCTGTAGGCCTGGGTAGCTATAGGTAGCTGAGGATTCAGCTTGTGCAGGTTAATAGGAATTAGAAGTATACTCCAAGCAAGGCAAAGAATCAGAACCAAGTTCTGTGCTTTAAACAAGGGTGGGGCTCCTGTCTATGAAAGAAGGTTGACAAAGTACAAAGGGCTTGACTGGCTTTTTTAAAGCAGTGTACATATAGAGAAGCAGGTATAGTCTTGTAACCAAGACCTGGACCAAGAATTTGCAGGCTTGATGACTGAGTCTACAGTATCCCTCATGTGACCAAAGGTTGGGAATCCTGAGCTACTGATATTAGACCTAGTTCTGGAGTCAGATTCTGAGGGATGGATATAGATAATCCCAAATTTATGTTTAGAAAGGGTTATGGAAGGAGGCGTAGTTGGGGAGACACACAGAATCCTCTCCTTGTAGGATGACCTTGCAAACCAAATTCCTGAAAAACACATGAAGAAAATGATTGCTAAGATAGATAGCCAAGACCAGCACTCTTGGTCCTTTCTTTAAAGAAGAACTTGAAAGAGAAAATGGAGAAAACTGGGAGAAACTCTGGTTTCACAAGGGCTGTTTTGAATGGTGAATGTAGGGGTCAAGGAGGAGACATTCCTATTGTCTGGCTGTGGGGAGGATAAAATAGGAAAGGTTCTACTTTCAGTTCTCCTTTACCATTGCCTTGGATAAGCAATGTTTTCACTCATACCTGTGGCAACTCAAAGATCTGATCCAGGTGAAGGTAAGAATAAATCAGGATTGTGCATAACCCTGGTGTCTTTGAGATGGCTGAGACAAGCAGCTGGGGACCAGTTAACCACTGATAGACTTCAGCACCATCTCCTCTCAACCCCCAGGACTGGGGAATTACAACCCAGTAGTGTCTTCTAATGTTGCTTCACCCTGGGAGTAAAGGGTCAGTCCTGGGAAATACAACCCAGTAGTGTCTTCTAATGTTGCTTCACCCTAGGAGTAAAGGGTGATTACCTGAGCTTGAAAATTAAAATGCGCGGCAATGAGTGAGATTACTGTTTGTCTGGCTTGGGTTTTATCCACCATTCTCACCCCTGAATTCATTGGGAGTAAGCCAGACTGGCATCTGGCCACCTTCTATAGGCACTGCCTGATAGGAGCCAATACCCCAGAGTGAAAATGAATTCACAAGCTAAAAATAACAGACATAGGAGAAACATAAAGATTTCAGTAGAAGCAGAAATATTAGAACATCTGTCCAGTAATTTAAAATTA